ACGCAATGACTCTAAATAATAATGATCACGCCACCAAACACACATTCAAACTAAAGGAACCAGCCTGTTTGGAAAATGTAAGAAGTAGAAAGTACAGGTATTTGGGTTCAACATGTAAGAAGTAGAAAGTACAGGTATTTGTGTTCAACATGTAAGAAGTAGAAAGTACAGGTATTTGGGTTCAAAATGTAAGAAGTAGAAAGTACAGGTATTTGGGTTCAAAATGTAAGAAGTAGAAAGTCGTCGTATTTGTTGAATAAAATGTGATGAAAAACAGGGACGTTTCTAATGAATTGTGTTTGCAGACAGGAGCCAGGCATGGGCCCTGAAGGCAGCATGGGCCCCGGAGCCCCTCAGCCCAACATGATGCCCTCAGGAGCCGAAACTGGGATGTACTCGCCCAGCCGCCCCCCACCACAACAACGGTCAGTACATTTAGGACGAGTACTTTAACCTGAGTATTTGCGTTTTAAGAAAAATATTTACAAAGCATAGATTTTAATTAATGCTATATAGTTGCATCGACTTAGTTGTCTTGTATATATATATATCTTTCAGAGAAACCATTATTTATTTTATTATCATACATTTCACTTCCTTGTCTTTATTAACCTGATCAAATGTTATATGTTGCTGCATGTACCTTTTAATGTTTTTAACAAACATCTGAGGGGAATTTCTTGTTTGTTTTTAAAAGAGTATTTCCATTTTATGCTACATTTTGCTGACTTTAATTTGATTAGATCTGTTACATTTTGGTTCATATTATAATTTTTTTTTAATTAAATCAACTAATGAAATTGGATAAATATACCTGGAAGTATTAAAGTAATTAAAATTAGATTGACCTTTTCGCCGGAATCAGTATCGACCGATCGCCGATCCGATCGAGTGGGCGGGGCCTATGGGGATTTTCCATTTAAAGTAATGTTTTATAAAACTCGGTTAATGGAGCTCACTCTCTCTCAAATTGTCATTTGAAGTAAAATATAGAATGCAGGTTGCTTTACTACACTGTGGTATTACTCTTACTTTCTTACTTTAAAACACGAAGATGTACCGTATTTTTTTTTTTAAGGAGAGAAATGTTTTTTTAAGATATCTTGCTCGTTATCGCTTTTAAAAAGACAGGGGGAATACAGTGTTGTTGACTGTGATGATGAAATGTGAAATGTAATGGTTTGTTATGGTTTTTTTCCAGGCATGAGTCCTACACCAATCAGTATCCAGGCCAAGGAGCGCCCCCTGGTGGCCCGTACCCCAATCAGCAGCCAGGAATGTATCCTCAGCAGCAGCCGGTGAGAACATTTTGTTCAGCGCTCTTATTCCAGCTTATTTATCCTTATATTTAACTATAAATGCATCAAATTTAGATTCCTTAATTGTCACTACACGGAGTACAGTGAAATTGCAAGCATTCCCGATGGTGCAATCACACATAACAGAGAGTATAAGTGTTATTTTGACAATGCAAGCTAAAACTTTTTAATATATAATATATAAAGTGACTTTGAATTGGACCTGTGATACATTGAACAGTACTCTTACAAAACAATACAACATTACCAGAACAATACAGTCAACGCACACTTACCTACCTGTGTTTGCATCCTATTGAACAGAGGCAGGCCATACATGTTTTAATCTTGCGTAAAGAGGCACAAGAAAAACAGAATTGCTTCTTTATTTGGAATAAATCCTTGAGATGTACCATCTGGTTTCAAGGGGGGTCCAAAAGAGAATACGATTATTATTCAATATAGCACAATTTAGCCAAATATTTTAAGTAAAGAATAACAAAATAATCAGACGGAACAAATTTGTTAAGCCATAATTATTGTTTTATTGATTAAGATACTCAAGTAGGGACATTCTTTAAAGGGGACCTATCATGCAACATTCACTTTTTGATGTATTTTTTATACATAAATATGTGTCCCCGGTGTGTCGGGGAACTCACGCAGCGTCAGAAAATAAATCCCTCTCTCTTTTCCTCCGTACCCAAATCTCTAAAAACGAGCTGATCCAGATTTGCGTCCGATATGACGTAATATCTGAAATGTGGACCCACGGCCCTATCAGTAACGTTGCTATCAGAAACAATGCCCGACTGTTTTGGACGTAATCTTGTCGGTGCATGTTTACATTAGCATCGCTAACACTCAGAGCTAACCTGTACTGGAGAGCATGTGTGTGAAGAAGCAGGAAATAAAAAGGAACTAACCTTGTGGTATAACCGGCAAGAGAGAAAGCCTTTGAGCTCCATACTGTTTCAGAGATAATCCTTGATAATCCATGATATGGCGTTTCATCACGGCAGTATTTAGTTTAGACAGTAGCTGCCGGGTCCCGAATGAGCTCAGACCCCTCCCTTTTAAAGCTTTATACCCCAAATCATTACTTTAGAAACAGGAAGTGAAATAGAGGAATATGAGGCATGGCTAGAATGGGTGATCTGTTTGGTATTTTGAGCAAAACACTTCATAGACAGGTTTTTTATATATTTTTATATATATATAGGACCTATGCTATTGCCTAAAAATAGCATGATAGGTGCACTTTAATAAAAGAGATGAACCATCTGGTTTCAACAGGGGTCCTTAATGATTTTATACAATCACAATTTGGCAAAATAAAAATAAACTAAGAAAAACATGAAAATTAAATTAGAAAATGATATAGAAAAAATGTCCTTGATGGCATTAAGCAATAAAGTTATTAAACCAAATGATGCAGGTGTTTTTTGTTATGGAAATGTAGTAAACATATCATAAAAAAGGCATTTTGTTTGTTTAAAGACAATATGGATCAGATACACGTCTTCAGACGGAGAACCCACCTGAAATAATTTCAATTTTTAGTGACTGTTTTGTTTTTTTCCTCCAATGTGAAATAATATATATTGTTATTTTAATTTTCTTAATGACTATTTTGATTTTCTTTCCTCACAGAACTACAAGCGTCCAGTAGATGGGGGTTACGGCCCTCCTGCGAAGCGCCACGAGGGGGAAATGTACAACTACAGTGGTCAGCCGGGCCCCCAGCCCTCGGGGCCCCCGGGCCAACAGGAGATGTACAACCAGTACAACGCGTATCCTGGAGGAGAACGAAGACCCCCAGGTCCCCAGAACCAGTTCCCTTTCCCCTTCGGACGAGAGCGCGTCCCCTCGTCTTCAGGTCCAAACTCCCAGTCTCCCATGCCTCCTCAGATGATGGCGAGCGCCATGCCATCGGGCCCCGAAGGCCCCCAGGGTCCCATGTGGCAGGGACGCAACGAAATGGGTTATAATTACCCAAACCGACAAGGAGCGGGTCAGAATCCCGGGTATCACGGCATGAATCGCTCAGAGGAAATGATGCCAGGGGACCAGCGGATGAATCACGATGGTGGTCAGTGGCCGGGTCATCAGAGGCAGCCTCCTTTTGGCCCCGGGGGCTCCGGACCCCCCATGACACGCCCCCTACCGTCCACCTATCAGACCTCTCAGAACCACATTCCTCAGGGAAGCAGTCCAACGCCAATGCCACGACCCATGGAGAGTAGGACGTCGCCAAGCAAGTCTCCGTACATGCACCCGGGCATCAAAGTACAGAAAGCAGGACCCCCGATACCCGCCTCTCACATTGGACACGCCCCCGTTCAGCAGCCGATGATCCGGAGAGACGTGGCTTTCCCCCCCGGATCTGTGGAAGCATCACAGCCACATCTGAAGCCCCGAAGGAGACTCACCGTCAAAGAAATCGGTACTGAGAGACTTTATTTACATCTAAGTCATTGTTAATGATAAATTATTATAATAATAATAATAATTTTTAAAAAAAACAGGTTTTAAAGGTCTTCTATCATGCAAAATGCACTTTTTAATTCCCATTAGACATAAACATGTGTCCCCGGTGTGTCAGGGAACTCACAAAGTGTCAGAAAACAAAACCCTCTCTCTTTTCCTCCGTACCCAAATCTCTAAAAACGGGGGAACAACGGAGCTGATCCAGATTTGTGTCCGATATGACGTAATATCTGAAATGTGGACCCACGGCCCTATCAGAAACATTGCTATCAGAAACAATGCCTGAGTGCTTTGGACATAATATGGTCTTTGTTTACATTAGCATCGCTAACACTCAGAGCTAACCTATACTGGAGAGTGTGTGTGTAATCAGCACTTTAGTAACAGGGCTGAAATAGAGGGATATGAGGGATGTCTAAAATGCATGATGTGTTTGGTATTTTGAGCAAAACACTTCATAGACATGTTTTTTATATAAATGTCCTGAGCTTTTAGAGTATATCTTATTCATTCCTCTCTTTCCACAGGCACTCCTGAGGCCTGGAGAGTGATGATGTCTCTAAAGTCAGGATTACTGGCTGAGAGCACCTGGGCTCTGGATACCATCAACATCCTGCTGTACGACGACAACAGCATCACTACTTTCAACCTGTGCCAGGTACGACACACACACACACACACACACACACACACACACACACACACACACACACACACACACACACACACACACACACACACACACACACACACACACACACACACACACACACTCACATAATGTGAAATACATTTAATATAGATACAAACAAAACACAATAATACAAATACAATGAAAACAATCAAATTAAATACCATCAAATGTAGGACTCTGGCTTGTATATATATTTTTGTTTAATACACACACACACACACACACACACACACACACACACACACACACACACACACACACACACACACACACACACACACACACACACACTGTATACAGGACGGTGCACATGCAATACACACACAGTTATACAGACATGAAGGTGCCTTTCCATTTAGTGCGTTAGTAGTTGAGGAGTTTATAGTTTGGGTTTCTTTCTGCTCCTCAGCTGCCGGGCTTCCTGGAGCTTGTGGTGGAATATTTCAGACGCTGCCTCATCGAGATCTTCGGCATCTTAAAGGAGTACGAAGTGGGCGACCCCGGCCAGCGAACGCTCATCGACCCAAACGCCGCCGAGGACCACGTGGACGAAAACCCAATCTCCGAGGAAATGGACGTGGACGAAGAAGACGAGGAAGACGAGGAGGAGGAGGAGGAGGAGGCGGAAGTCGTCGTTCCCTCGTCGCTGGTTCAGGTGAAGCTGGAGGAGAAACAGCCGTCTTCAGAGGACGAGGAAAAGGAGAAAGAGTCGCCTGTTAAAGAACCCGTCACTTCGCAGAACTCTGACTCGGAAAAGCCGAAACAGGCGAGTAAATTCGACAAACTCCCGCTCAAAGTGGTGCGAAAGAGAAACCCCTTCCTGCTGAATCCGGCGTCTTTGCAGAGGCAGAGTTTCGACAGCGGATTGACGCACTGGAGCATCGGCGGAGGAGACACGACGGAGCACATCCAGACGCACTTCGAGAGCCGATCGGACCTCCTGAAGCTGCGGAAACGCAAACCGACGACGAACAGCGAGAACCGCAAGAAGGTGGGGACGAGAGACGAGTCGGAGAACACGGAGAAACCGCCGCCTACTCTTATTCCTCCCGTCACCGCCACTATCGACGACGTCCTTTTCGCTCGACCTGGATCCGTCACGGAAGAAGTGGTTCGAGGAGGCGCCGAAGAGCAGAAAGAAAACGGGAAATACCTGTTCAGTATTAACCCCGAAATGCAGAGTCGACGCAACATCAAGATCCTGGAAGACGAGCCTCACAGCAAAGACGAAAGGCCGCTCAGCTCCTTGTCCGACTGGCAGGATTCGCTTTCTCGCCGCTCCATCTGCATCTCAAACATCGTGCGGAGCCTCTCTTTCGTGCCGGGAAACGACCTGGAGATGTCGAAACACCCGGGCCTCCTGCTGCTGCTGGGCCGCCTCGTGCTGCTGCACCACAGGCACCCCGAGAGGAAGCAGGCGCCCGTTACCTACGAAAAGGAGGAAGAGGAGGATGAAGGAGTGAGCTGTGAACGGGACGAGTGGTGGTGGGACTGCCTGGAGGTTTGTGGAAGAATTCTTAACGTAATACATTAGCGTGGGTATTCGTTTATGAGGGTAATGGTTCAAGATTCAATGCTTTTATTGTCATGTGTTCATAGCTACAGTGTAGTTGGGTCACAGGCTCCTCCAACAGAGCAACACAATGAAACAGGTACTATAGAGAGGCGAAGTCCCGCCCATCTACTTCCGCCCCATGGGACCTTATTTCAGAAAAAGTATATATTGAAGTCAATGGAGAGAGAAAACGTATCTCTCGATCCCGTTTGAATTGTGCCACGAATTACACATATGATTAGGGCTGCTCGATTATGGCAAAAATCATAATCTCGATTATTTGGGTCAATAATTGTAAATGCGATTATTCATTGACTCTGGAAACATCCATTTATTGTATTTTAAAACAAATACAAATAATAATTTGAACTTTTTAACTGTTGAATTATACGTTCAGAGTAATCAACTGAAAAACCAATACAAAATAAAATAAATTATACATTCATGTCTACATTTAAATAAATAAAATCAAAATAATAAATATCAACAAATATGTTGCAGTGCACTGTCACAACCTCAAAACTCCTTAACATATAGCTAACATTTTGGTAAAACATATTCAACATATTCCACTCAGTTAAACGTTGAATACTGGCCCACCGTCATGGTCCAGAAGTAACAGGGAATAAATGTTGAACTACAATTTAAGACCAAATAAAAATGTTTTGGCCACCATGGCAAATGCTGGCAGGGCTGCTCATGTCATCTCTTAAAGAGTTTTTGCAAGAAACGCCAGCCTGTTTACATGGTCCGGTTTCAGAGATGAGCGCAGGTAGGAGACAATATTGCCACCTGTACTGAAGACTAGGATCTCGATTATTTGGGTCAATAATTGATATCACGATTATTAAAAACGATTATCCATTTACTTTGAAAACATCAATTTATTGGAGAAACAATT